GAGCTTTCTTTTGGTGGTATTTAATCACCGCTGGGGTTTTTATTTTTTGCTAAATTAACAAAAAAAGACCAAAAATTTTGAAAAAAAACACACGTTTTTCTTTGTTTCTGTTATAAAAGTTTGCAAATAATTGTAAATAATTGTTCTTCATAAATTTAGGCCGAGATGTATTCTGCTACATTTCTTTGGTGAAAATAACCCAAATTAGGATGTATTTTTTAGTTTGTAGGAAAGTTATAGAGTTCACAAACTATGGTATAGATCTGAATATTGATCAATCCTGAAGTACTGACAGCCAATCTAATTTCTTGAGGTCCAAGAATGTAAGAACAGTACAGATATCCCCCAATTTACCCCTTTTTGCAAAGTAGACAGTCCGACGTACTTCATAACAGGCATGGTGAGTTTTTTGAAGTTGTATTTTTTGGTCATAATTTTTCGGAAAATTAAAAAATTAAAAAAATTATTTTTCACTATTTTTTTTTTAAATATTGTCACCAGTGCAGTACAGTGTTATCATATAACTGGCATGGCGGTGATCAGGGACACTGACTGGTGACAGTATGAAAAAAAAATAAAAAATTTTTTATATCTTTTTATTATTTGTTATTTTTTAATTACATTTTTTTTTCTTTTTTTAAGATTTGTTTTTCAGATTTCACTATGACCAAAGTAGTACAATGTTACCATAGTAACATTGTACTACTTTGGGGAAGTGATCAGTATTTTTATTTATTTATTTTTTTTTTTTTTTTTTACAATTTGCTTATAGCAAAGAATTACTTTTCTATAAGCAAGCATTTACCTGAATGACATCGATTCATTCAGGGTTTTTTTTTTTTGTGCTTAGCTGTGATTTGGCCACAGCTAATCACATGAGATGTGCATGTGATCGCTGTGACCATTCACAGCTAGACACTAGTATACAATGGATGGCATGAATGAAGCCATCCATTGTATACAACTGTCATGTGACCTGCTGTGATTGGTCACAGCAGGTCACATGGCACCGGGAATGGGGGCCGATACTCAGATCTGTCATCGGCCGTGTCTGAGGTACACGACTGGTGACAGATCGTGCCGCTGCGCGGCTCTGCAGGAGCGCAATCTGCGCATGTGCGGGAGGACGCTATATGGCGTCCACCCGGAACACTGATCACATTTGCCAGCCACCATTTGGCCATAGTTAAATAGTTAAAATTGCCGGGCTTTTGTTTTATATTGCAAAAAATAAAAAAACACAGACAATCAAATATCACCAAAAGAAAGCTCAATTTGTGGGAGAAAAAAGGACATACATTTCATTTGGGTGCAGCATTGCAATTGGCAGTTAAGCTAATGCAGTGCCGTAACACAAAAAATGGTCTGATCAGGAAGTGGGGTTAATCCTCAGGAGGGCAAGTGGTTAAACAAAAACAAAAATAATCCTACTTAGTATAAACTTTAAGAGGGGCAAAATAAAGGTATTATATTCACACATCTCCGGTCCCATTTCTCTTAAGAACATTTTAACTTAATGTAAACCTTTTATTGTGGGGAATACTACAATACTGCATTTTCACATCCATGGATAATAATAGTTCTCCCTTCGGAATATAGAATCCTTGCAAAGTTTGGAACAGGTCCATTGTATCGATTGTATGTAGTGAAAGACTTGTAACATGTGGATTAAAATATTGATCATTCACTTTACTATCTTTTTCCATATTCTAGAGAATATTGGTTTTCAGGGATATTTTTGTGGGTTTTGGGTTCTGCCCAAAAATATTACCCTATACCATTTATTATTGTTCAATAATTGGTAACACATAGTTTCATATTGTTGACAGTTCATAAAGACCATATGATATGCAACTATGTATGTCCTCCCTAAGGATCATGCACTATCTATTATGGGGTAATAGAAGAGGGCTAATAGAACAGTATAATTTCTTTCATATTGAAGGGATACTTCCTGAGACCCTTCCAAAAGGTTTGTATATTTAATATTCAATTTTAAGTCCCCCATAAGCTGTGTGTTGCGTTTTGTGTGTGTGTGTGTGTGTGTGTGGGGGGGGGGGAATTATCCAGTTCTCCTCCCAGGGGAAATTTTGATGTGGTTGTGGTCCCCAGGTTCCTGACCGTATGGTTATTATCATTATTATTATACAAGATATATATAGCGCCAACAGTTTGCGCCGCATTTTACAATATGGGGGGAAACAGTACAGTTACAATACAATTTAATACAGGAGGAATCAGGGGGGCCTGCTTGTTAAAGCTTACAATCTAAAAGGGAGGGTCAAGTGATAAGAAAAGTAAAGTTTTCAGGGATTGTCTAAAAGTGAACATAGCAGGAGACAGTCAGACAGATTAGGGTAGGGAATTCCATAGGATGGGAGAGGCTCGGGAGAAGTCCTGAAGGAGAACATAGGAGGAGGTGACAAGGGAACTAGAGATCATGAGGTTTTGGGAGGAACAAAGAGTGCGATTTGGTTAATATTTTAAGACTAAGTTAGTGATGTAGCTGGGGGTCGAGTTGTGGATGGCTTTTTAAGTTAAGTTAAGCAGAGAGGGGTAGTAGACACTAAACGGTTGGTAAGGTGGATGAGTCTGGCAGCAGCATTCATGATTGACTGGAGGGGGGATAGCCTATGTAAAAGGTAAGTCAATGAGGAAGGAGTTGCAGTAGTTGAGGCAAGAGATAACCTGGGAGTGAATTAGTAGCTGGTGTCATTGGTTATAAAGGGGCATATTTTGGAGATGTTGTGGAGGTTCAGACGGCAAGCTTTGGAAAGTGATTGTATGTGGGGCGAAAGGAGAGTTCAGAGTACAGGTGTCAGGGCTTCCGGGTATGACCAGAGGTGTGTGACTGACGCAGGGAAACACAGACTTCAGATATGTTATAAACAATATAATTTATTAACACTAACAATACAAGCATAAACGCAGTGCAATACTAAAACATAACACAGTGCAAACAAACCAAACCAACCAACCACCCACAGATGACAGTACATACAATACAAGCGTCGTCAGGCAGGCCGGGTCAATATCAATCGGGCAGGTAGGTACAGGGGGAGCAAGCGGAGAATGGTCGGGGTCACAAGCCAGGTTCAGCAGGTAGCGGGCAGCGTGGTACAGGGGGTCAGGCAGAGGAGAATGGTCAGACAAGCCAGGGATCAGGAGCAGGAGAATGGTCAGACCAAGCCAGGGATCAGAGCAGAGTCAGCAACGAATCAGACAGGAACAGGAACAGGGAGCAGGAACAGGATACAGGGCCCAGGAGAAACACACACCAAGGTAGAGTCTGCAGGTCTGGCCATCCCTTAAATACATCAGTATAATCAGTTCCAGGTGTTTGACTGGCTGCAAGGTTGAGTCTCTGATTGCTGGGAGCACCCGCTGGCCAGCCCTGGTACTGCAGCTCATAAGGCAGGTGAGTCCCACCATTGCTGGCCCGTCCATTCCTGACAGTACCCCCCCCTCAAGGAGCGGCCTCAGGACGCTCCAAACAGTCCTAGCTGGGCAAAATGTTCCACCGCCCGGGTCTAGTAACTGGCGGGATATCAAAGACTGGCACACCGGGGCAGACTCCGGGCAGCGGCACACCGGGCAGGACTCCGGGCAGCGGCACACCGGGCAGAGGCACACCGGGCTGTACTCCGGGCAGAGGCACACCGGGCTGGACTCCGGGCAGAGGCACACCGGGCAGAGGCACACCGGGCTGGACTCCGGGTAGAGGCACATCGGATTACCAGGCAAAGCAGCAGGCAGCGGGCCACCGGGCGGAGCAGCAGGCACCGGGCCACCAGGCGGAGCAGCAGCAGGCACCGGGCCCCCAGGCGGAGCAGCAGGCACCGGCCCCCGGGCGGAGCAGCAGGCACCGGGCCCCCGGGCGGAGCAGCAGGCACCGGGCCCCCGGGCGGAGCAGCAGGCACCGGGCCACCCGGGCGGAGCAGCAGGCACCGGGCCCCCAGGAGGGGCGACGGGCACCGGGCCCCCAGGAGGGGCGACGGGCACCGGGCCCCCAGGAGGGGCGACGGGCACCGGGCCCCCAGGCGGGGCGACGGGCACCGGGCCCCCAGGCGGGGGGCGACGGGCATCGGGCCCCCAGGCGGAGCGACAGGTCTCGGGCCCCCAGGCGGAGCGGCGGGCGCCGGACCCCCAGGCGGAGCGACAGGTCTCGGGCCCCCAGGCGGAGCGGCGGGCGCCGGACCCCCAGGCGGAGCGACAGGTCTCGGGCCCCCAGGCGGAGCAGCGGGCGCCGGACCCCCAGGCGGAGCGACAGGTCTCGGGCCCCCAGGCGGAGCGGCGGGCGCCGGACCCCCAGGGGGAGCGACAGGTCTCGGGCCCCCAGGCGGAGCGGCGGGCGCCGGGCCCCCAGGCGGAGCGACAGGTCTCGGGCCCCCAGGCGGAGCGGCGGGGGCGCCGGGCCCCCAGGCGGAGCGACAGGTCTCGGCCCCCAGGCGGAGCGACAGGTCTTGGGCCCCCAGGCGGAGCGGCGGGCGCCGGACCCCCAGGCGGAGCGACAGGTCTCGGGCCCCCAGGCGGAGCGGCGGGCGCCGGACCCCCAGGCGGATCGACAGGTCCGGGCCCCCAGGCGGAGCGGCGGGGCGGCGGGCCCCCAGCGGAGCGACAGGTCTCGGGCCCCCAGGCGGAGCGACAGGTCTCGGCCCCCAGGCGGAGCGACAGGGCTCGGGCCCAGGCGGATCGACAGGTCTCGGGCCCCCAGGCGGAGCGACAGGTCTCGGGGCCCCCAGGCGGAGCGACAGGTCTCGGGCCCCCAGGCGGAGCGACAGGTCTCGGGCCCCCAGGCGGAGCGACAGGTCTCGGGCCCCCAGGCGGAGCGACAGGTCTCGGGCCCCCAGGCGGAGCGACAGTCTCGGGCCCCCAGGCGGAGCGACAGGTCTCGGGCCCCCAGGCGGAGCGACAGGTCTCGGCCCCCCAGGCGGAGCGACAGGTCTCGGCCCCCAGGCGGAGCGACAGGTCTCCCCCAGGCCCCCAGGCGGAGCGACAGGTCTCAGGCCCCCAGGCGGAGCGACAGGTCTCAGGCCCCCAGGCGGAGCGACAGGTCTCAGGCCCCCAGGCGGAGCGGCGGGCACCAGACCCCCAGGCGAAGCGGCGGGCGCCGGACCCCCAGGCGGAGCGACAGGTCTCGGGCCCCCAGGCGGAGCGGCGGGCACCGAGTCACCAGGCACGACAGTGGGCTCCGAGTCAACTGGCATGACCGCTGGCACTGGGTCAGACATTGGATCGTCTGGCTGGACAGCGGGCATCGGGTCACCAGGCATCAGGTCATTTGGCTCGACAGCGGGCCGCGTCATCTGGCAAGGCAGTGGGCTCCGAGTCAACTGGTATGACCGCGGGCACTGGGTCAGACATGGATCGTCTGGCTGGACAGTGGGCATCGGGTCACCAGGCATCAGGTCATTTGGCTCAACAGCGGGCACCACGTCATCTGGCAAGACAGTGGGCACCAAGTCACCCCGGGCACGACAGCGGGCTCTGAGTCAATTGGCACGACAGCGGGCACCGGATCAGGTACCGGATCATCTGGATCAACAGCGGGCATCGAGTCAACTGGCCTAATAGGATCATCAGGCTGGATCAGTTCATCATGCTGGGTAGAGGCATCAGGCTGAGTGGAGGCATCAGGCTGAGTAGAGGCATCAGGCTGAGGCATCAGGCTGAGTAGAGGCATCAGGGTGAGTAGAGGCATCAGGCTGGGTACAGGCACAGGCAGGCTGGGTACAGGCTGGGTACAGGCATCAGGCTGGGTACAGACATCAGGCTGGGTACAGACCTCAGGCTGAAGTGCGGGTGCCGAGGCACCAGGCTGAACCACGGAAGGCAGGTTCTCGACGGCAGGTTCACCGGTTTGGATACTGGCAGGATGGTACTGGTTGGAAAGAATTTTTGCTTTTTTCTGGTTTTTAACTACTGGAGCTCTGCAAGTAAACGCAGGTCTGCAACGAATGGAGCAGCTGGAGACAGAGAAGAGCTGGAGGATGGGACAGAGGAGGGAGCAGTTGCTACAGAGGGCTTTTTTACAGGGTTAAAGGCAGGATAGGTGCAGCGAGTGGGAACAGGGTACTGACATGCGGTAGATAGCAGGGCAGGAGGAGCTGTTGGGAATGCAGGAATAGAGCTTTGAGGAAATAGATTAGAAGCAGGACTGGGTTTTTGTAGGCTGACTGAGGCTGGGTGCAACAAATCTGTCCATGTCTGCAGTATGGGTTGAGTGAACAAAGCTGAGCTTACACAAAGCCTGTCTGACCAAAGACTGTACTGCGTTTATACAATCTCTTAGTATCTGTGGTGAACATGCAACATAATGCTCCAAGAAGCAATCCACATCATCCTCTAATAACCATACCAGGGACTCTACCTGGTCGGCACTAAATGGAGGCAAAAATTCATCCCTGCATTCGGGGGTACCAGATGAAACCAACTCCGCACAAATCTGAATCAATGGCTGCACCTCAGAGAATTCTGTGCCCTGATCTACTAGAACATGAGCGAGCCGTATACATTCTAGCAGTTCATCCCGGGGATACTCCTTCAGAGTCTGATAAGCATATTCTCTGTCATCAAACACTAGCAGATATAAATACACAACCTCATCAAGATCCATCCTTCCCCATCAACAAACCCAAGATGGCTTCCCTGTGCAGCCACTTCTGGTCAGGATTGGCCTTGGTGTAATGTCAGGGCTCCCGGGTATGACCAGAGGTATGTGACTGACGCAGGGAAACGCAGACTTCAGATATTGTTAAAACAATATAATTTATTAACACTAACAATACAAACATAAACGCAGTGCAATACTAAAACATAACACAGTGCAAACAAACCAAACCAACCACCCACAGATGACAGTACATACAATACAAGCGTCGTCAGGCAGGCCGGGTCAATATCAATCGGGCAGGTAGGTACAGGGGGAGCAAGCGGAGAATGGTCGGGGTCACAAGCCAGGTTCAGCAGATAGCGGGCAGCGTGGTACAGAGGGTCAGGCAGAGGAGAATGGTCAGACAAGCCAGGGATCAGGAGCAGGAGAATGGTCAGACAAAGCCAGGGATCAGAGCAGGGTCAGCAACGAATCAGACAGGAACAGGACCAGGGAGCAGGAACAGGATACAGGGCCCAGGAGAAACACACACCAAGGCAGAGTCTGCAGGTCTGGCCATCCCTTAAATACATCAGTATAATCAGTTCCAGGTGTTTGACTGGCTGCAAGGTTGAGTCTCTGATTGCTGGGAGCACCCGCTGGCCAGCCCTGGTACTGCAGCTCATAAGGCAGGTGAGTCCCACCATTGCTGGCCAGTCCATTCCTGACAACAGGATTACCCCTAGCACCCTGGCATGCAGGGACATGTTAATGGTTGTGCCATTGATCTTGACAGAGAAGTCAGGGGAAGGGACATGTGAGGGAGGAAATATTATGAGCTCGATTTTGGATAGATTGAGTTATTGACTTTGAGGAAGTGGTATGACATCCAGGCTGATATGCCGGTCAGTAAGTTAGTGAAACGTGAGGAGACTGTTGTTGTGAGCTGAGGGGTTGAGAGATAGATTTAGGTGTCATCAGCATTGAAATGATATTGAAAGCAATGGGAGGCTGACCCAGGAAGGGGGTGTAGTTTGAGAATAGGAGAGGTCCAAGAACAGAACCTTGTGGGACCCCAACAGAAAAAGGAAGAGGATAGGAGGAAGTAGAATTGTATGTGACACTGAAGGTGCAGTGGGATATGTAGGATGAGAACCAACGAAGAGCACAAGAATACCAAGGAAGTAAAGTTTTTTGAGGAGGAGGGGGTGGTAAACTGTATCAAAGGCAGCTGAGAGGTCTAGAAGTAGGAGTACAGAATAGTGTCCATTGGTTTTTGCTGTCAGTAAATTGTGAGTTTTAGGAGAGCAGTTTCTGTGGAGTGTTGAGGGCGAAATCCAGACTGACCAACTCATCAAGAATAATCTTCTTGATCCCTTTCACTCAGGTTGTTATAGACCAGGTGTTCAAGGAGTTTGGAGGAAAAGGGGAGCAAGGAGATGGGGCATAGGTTGATAAGCTTGGTGGGGTCCAAGGAAGGCTTTTTAAATATGGAATTGACTAGTGCATGTTTTAGAGTGTTGGGAAAAGTATCATAGTGTGCACTGTGGTGCATAGAGCTGAATATTTGTTGTACTGCAATTAAATTGATTATAAAGGTTAAAAAAAAATAACAAACATGTCATTTATACTTTCGCTGTGCAATGTTTTTGCACAGAGCAGCCTTAATCCTCTTCTTTTTGGGTCCCCCACTGGTGGTTCTGGCTCCTCCTCCCAGCCGCCAATAGCAAGCCTCTTTCTATTGGGCAGTCAAGCAGGCTCACTCCCTAGCCACGGTCCTGTGTCCATTCACACACAGAATGGGGCTTAGCCATCCCCCCCCCCCCGTTCTCTCCTAATTGGCTCACTGGCTGTGATTGACAGAAGCAAGAGCCAATAGCTCCCACTGCTATGTGAACCAATGAGGAGAGAGAGTCCCCGGACAATTGAGGCTCCCTTGGTTCCTGCCTTTTAGAACCACTTTAACTGCCTCCCGCCCGCCATATAAGGAAATGATGGTGGTAGTCTCGTTCTGGGAGGATGTCATATGACGTCCTCCCACTCTAACCGTGTGTGCACGCAGCTTGGTGATTGGTGGTGCGCTGTGTCCCTGGGACACAGTGGATCACCGATCAGCGGAAAGAGCCAAAGACTTCGGCTCTGTCATGTGATCAGCTGTGTCCAATCACAGCTGATCTCATGTAAATAAGGAAATGTCGGTTATTGGCATTTCTCTCCTGTCACGCTGGCAGCTCGTGAGAGGAGAGCCAGTAATCAGCATTTCTCAGAGGGGACATCTACACTGATCATCAGGACACTGATGATCAGTGCCCTGATGATCAGTGTAGACCCATCAGTGCCACCTGTCAGTGTCCATCAATGCCACCTGTCAGTGCCCATCAATGCCACCTGTCAGTGCCACACCAATGCCACATATCAGTGCCTACCAGTGCACATCAATGCCACATATCAACCTTGAAAGGGGTCTTCTGCTCTCTGAGCAGGTAGCTAATGGGATGGATGTGGAGGGTGGAGTGGCTAATATGGATTATCAGGTAGGAAGATGGGTTACTACAAGGAGAGGGAGTGGTAGGGGATCACAGAAAAGGAAGGCTGGCCCTGGGTTTGAACACCCAAACTGATTTGCCAAGTTGGGTGAAGATGAGGGGGTGGCAAGCTCAGGGGTTGCAATAAAAAAATATGCAAAATACGTGTGAACAAGGTGTCAATTAGTTAAAGTGTTTGTTTACCAATGCCAGAAGTCTGCCAAGCAAAATAAGTGAGTTGGAAGCTTTGGTGCATGAAGAGAACTATGATTTAATTGGTATTGCTGAATCTTGGCTTCATTCTTCACATGACTGGGCCATTAATATTCCTGGCTATGTTTTCTTTCGTGCCAGCACCAGGGAGAGAAGATGGCTGATGGAAGCAGGACACCCCTGGACCGAGGAACAGGTAGGATGGAGGAGCGGGTTCTTCTGCACAGTAGAGCCGAGTGGCTGGCCCGTATTTTAACATGGTGTCGGCCGCAGGAATAATGGGCCGGCTGCTACATATTCGCTCCATAAGACGCACAGACATTTTACCCCATTTTTTTGGAGAAAAAAGTGTGTCTTACGGAGCGAAAAATACAGTAATACAAGTGTTATGGTATAGTGCTAGGTTGGTGTGCCCTCTGTTTTGTAGTATATAAAAGGATACCCACAGAGGGGGCAGCAAGACGTGTGTTATACCTGTAAGCCAGTCAAGTCTTTTGCACCACACTCAAGCGTAGGAGGTTATTCTTTGGTCTATGTTTCAACTTTAGTCAATGTGAATTCTTGTGAGTGACTTTCAATTGTCTGAGATGCACACAAAAATGCACGATTACAGAGTGCCAGAGCACAGAGACTATATATTATATATACATTTTTCTTCCATTATTGAAATTGCCTGCAGGTATTCAACTAAATTTGAATATATATTAAAGTATCAAGTAAAGGTAATTGTTGCTTGACAAAGTGTCAACTTAAAGTAATTGTTACTGGACATTAAGAAATAGAATGTGAATAGCCTTGCAAATGAAACTGTTAAGCTTCATAGAGGTCTGGAAAATCCCTCTACATAGCCCAGCAGGTTTGCTTTATTAAATGAAACATGAAAATGTAATCATTTACTTTTAAAACTGGTTGATTAATCACAAAATTCTGTAATCAGAAAAAAACTGATTAAATAATTATATATTTCCCTGTATAACAGAAAAATGCATTCTGATTCAGGTTTGAAAGAGAACTTTGGTAACAATGCAATTACATTTTAATGAGTGAACATGTTCTGAATGTTGCTATTCTCCCTATGACCTTGGTCACTTCAACAGTTCTTAGGGAGAGCAAATTGTAATTTACAAGCTCATGAATTCTGTCAAATGTAAACTGGATGACTGCACTGTAAAAAAAGGAGGAAATCAGCATTATTAACTGATTAATCAATGGAAGAGAAATTATATTTGTATGTT